ATATTAGCTTAAAAGGGTCTCTCGTACCTTTTCCATTCCCATATGATCCATGTAAAGTCTCTTCAGACTTTTGGATAAGGGCTGGAAAGCATTTGGTCCCACCCAACGAACTGAGTTCCCAGAGAGGTTGAGCTCCTGCAGATTAGAGGTCTCAAGCAGAGCGTGGGTGGGCACCTCAGTCAGCTGATTTGAATCCAGGTGAAGGGTACATAGAGAGTCAGAGTCAAGAGCGCCCTTGGCAATGTAAGTTAAGTTGTTATTGCCCAGATATAACTCAGTAAGTTTAGAGCCCAGTGAGGACAGCAACCCACTGGTCTCAAGTTTAGAGATGGCATTTTGCTCCAGATGTAACACAACCAGACTTGGTAAGAGTGACAGAGCTAGAAGAAAGACACAGAACAGCCATGTTTTAGTTCCAGTGTTTCTTGTAGATAGTATCTACTGAGGCAGACTTAATGTAATTTATCCACTGACCTGATCCAGGGAACTGCGCCAGCTTGTTCCTCTCCAGGTGGATGTAGGTGAGCTTGGGCACTCCAGCAAAGGCCTTGGGGTCCAAGGACATGAGGTCATTATCAGAAAGATACAAATACAAAAGGTTTTTCATCCCTTGGAGGGCACCACCTTCAATTTCATGGATTTTGCAGGACTGCAAGTGAAGAGAAACAAGTTGGCTGCTGCCTGGGAAGCTGTTGGCTGGAAGGTAGTGGAAGTGATTATCGTGGAGGTCCAGCAACTGCGTCTGGGCGGGGAAGCCTCGTGGGATTCTAGTATGGCCCCGACCCTCACATGTGGCATGCTGGGTCTCAGTCTAGAGAAAATCAGTTTTGAATGTGAAACCTGCAAAACGTCTCAGTGGAAATAACAAACAGTCATCGAGGAAGTACTCTGAGGGTTTACTTAATAGAATACCGACATATCACAGTGCTCTGAGACACTGATAAACATATGAGTAAAACAGCTGCCTTGTAGCATGCAGCATTAGCCTTCATTTAAAGGCCTTTGAAGCATTATTTGTGGTGTGCCAAAAATCTACCACTATGTTACCCATCTACCTACAGTGGAGTTTTAGAGCTTTCAACTCAATTTTATTCATATAGCATGGCCACTTGATCCAACCCCTAACTATATGCTTTATCAAAACCCTTTTAGCATAGCTCTCTAGCTTAAAACTAGAGAGGGTGTCTGCCTCCTGAATCCAAACTGGAAGCTGGTCCCACAGATTAGGGCCCTGAAAGCTGAAGGCTCTGCCTCCCATTCTACTTTTAAATATCCTAGGAATCACAAGTAAGCCACAGTCTGAGAGCCAAGTGCTCTACTGTGATTAGCGAAGTAAGTAAGTACAAGTGAGCCAAGTGAGAGTGTGGTAAAACAGCAAATCTATGAGAAACTGGAGTTTTTATTTTTTCTTCCTGCTTTCATTGTGTCCCAGAAGTGTTTTCTGTCTCCAACTTACATCACATTCACAGTTAGCTGGACACTTGACCTTCTGCTTTGGCTTGGCAGTGGCTGTGACCGTGGGTGGGACTCTTTCCGTACTCTCCTCCTCCTCCACCGGTGACTCCCCCCTCCTGCAGCGCAGATCCAGAGGAGACACCGCCTGCAGAGGCTCATCTGAGAGGTGAGGAGGTCCAGAGCAGGCCCCCAGCAGCTTCACACCACTAACTCTCGCCCACTGCCTCAGTGGAGACATGTAGCAGTTACAGTAGATGGGGTTCCCTTTAGAAAAAGTAAGAAATGCCTGTTGGTCAGCATGTAAAAATGACACATGGTATGCTATCACCCCCCTACATCTTTCTTTCTTGGCCTCACTATGAGACATGAGAAGTCAGATCACTTACATCTGCTGGTTTGGAAAAAATGAAAGCCTGTTATGTTAAAGTAAAA